ACCAGATCATCTCTGAGAAGGGGGAGGGGTGGGGCAAGAAAAACCAAGTTGGTGGGAAACGTGCTCTCTCTCATCACCGTCCTATCGAGAGACAATAGGTGGTAACCTACCGAAACAAGCCTCGTGCAGACGCCCTGTATTACAGGCAGGTGGAATCCGATGTACACACTGGGGATATGGCCCTGCCAAAAATCCGTGGCGAGGACATCAGACCTCTGAGCCCAACGCATGCCCCATCCACACACCTTCCTACGTCACCACCCGGGGAAATGCCCTTCCACATATGTCTGTGGAAAACACACAAAAGCACAAACTCAGGAATCCTATGTGACAGGCACATGAGGAGACAACGCCGATGATGGCATCTTCGAGAACAGAAGAAGTTCTTGTTGCTACCAAGGGGGAAGCAACCCCCCCGCCCCCCAGCTCTGCTCCGTCCAGGCTGGTCCGAACTCAAACTCATGGAAAAGACAGGGCAACAGTGGGTCAGCACCAATGCCCGAGGGAACCTGACAGCCACTTTTAAGTCCGAAGCTCGCCGGTGGCCATGTCGCCTCACTGGCCTATTTTCTTTTCAGGACGAAGAGGGTGGCATGTGGAACGCTGCGGCCTTTTGTGTCTGATCAACCACAGAAACGCTTTCGGCGCCGATGGCAACCGTCACACAATGGCCATGGCAACAGAGGAGGGGAACGGCCCTTGTGCTGCGTTTCTTAAACAGGCCCGGAGAGAGGCACCCCAAACACAGTTCAGATGTCACTTCATAAAAATCTGAAAGATGTCTTCTTGAAAGATAGGATTCCGAACAACGAAAACCAAAAGCAAACGAATGCCTGCCCCGCGCTCTGCGCCCATCTGCCGTGGGAGGAAGGAGGCACTGGGCAAATGGTTCTGGCTTTCTGGCCCCAGAAAACGTGGCTCTTGGCTCTTTCATTTAGCCTTTGACCTTGAACACATTAACTCATTTCTCCAAACCTTAGGTTCTCCCACTGCAGGGTGGGAAAAGCAACATAGAAAACTCGGCTGTGACATAAGTGTGCTCCGAAGTACCTAACTGTATAAAATGTATTACTGAAAGGCTGTTGAAGTGACTGGCACAAGTCTGGGGTAGGTGGCAAGTCAGATATTCTCATGATAGACAGAGAGACCCAAACATGCAGGGCTGGCAGAGGGCCAGTGCCACCTGTGGCAGTCATCTCCTGAGTTTAAATATCAATGGGGACGATTTCAAATTCTGTGACTTTCCCAGACTTTAAAGTCGGTTGGATTTAGGCCAGAAAAAATACTGGAAACTCACCCTCTACTTTCCTGCTTCCTAAGGAGGGGATGCATGCCTGGTTTAGGTCTGTTTTAAAAATTAAACGAGATAACATATTTATAAATGAATGCCCGAAGCGAATGGCTGGTAAATGGCCGCACTATGAGCTTACCTGTCCATGTATTTTGGGAAGGTCGATGTGTCCCCTGCGTGCGCCCGCAGTGCCCTCCCCATCAAC